CTTTTCTTATCGTATCACTAACACAATTTCTTAGTTGCCTATTTAAATCTAGTATGGTGCACCCTTTTAAGCGGATTTCATGAAAACTCTCCACATACAACGCTGGCTTTCTCACCCCCCACCCTTTACCCTTGTGCTGGGAGTGTTGATCAGAGTCTGCCATATTATTCCGCAATGCTCTTTCCATAAGTCTTATCAGAACCTCCCTCTTGCTCCGTAGGATCCGCTTTCTACCCTTCTGGTTCAGGTATTTCACTCTGCTCCTGCCACCCTATCTGTAATACTCGAAGTGTTATTTCCCACACTGTCTCAAGCCTTTGATGAGACATACACTCCCGCTTCGTTGAGTAGGTCGCTAAAAATCAGGATTCTAAAGCTGGATGGGAGACCAACTTGAGGCTAAAGAGCCCGAGTAATTATCATGGTCAAGCCTCTGCTTCATGGATCACGTCTATGATCAAACACGTCTACTGTTAGCAAACTAGCTCTAGTCTCTGCAGTATCTATTTTGCTTATATCCATAGTGCCAAGTCTATGACGTCATATGCCCTAGTCTCTTATGTGTCGACCAACAAATGTCATGGTTAAACACGGAACCTAATCAAAACAAGTAGAATCACAACATTTGTGGGTTTGCACACAAAAGACTAGGGCATAGCAAGTCATAGACTTGGCGCTATGGATAGAAGCATGATAGATGCGGTGGAGACTAGAGCTAGTTGGCTTGAGACAGTGTGGGAAATAACGCTTCGAGTAGTACAGATAGGGTGGCAGGGGCCAAGTCAAATATCTGAACCAGGAAGTTAGGAAGCGTATCCTACGGAGCAAGAGGGAAACTCTGATAAGGCCTATTGAAAGAAGATTGCGGAATAGTATGACAGACTCTGATCAACATTTCTAGCACAAGGGTACAGAAAGGTGAGGAGGTGAGAAAGCCAAAGTGGGATGTAGAAAGTTCTCATGAAATCCGCTCTAAAGAGCATACCATAGCACATTTAAATAAGCAATTAATAAATTTTTCTAGGCAAGAGGTGATACGATATGAAAGTACTGGTGAATAGCCCATGGCACAAAGGGAGATACCACAATTGTTTAGCAGACAGTTGGTCAAAGGATCGGCTTCACTTTTATCTGACGAATCGTAGTATAGTGCTAATAATGGCAATACTCATTGACGACGCCGGCGAAACGTCCGGGAATGTTCCACGCTCACGGTCCGACTCTAGAAATTACCATGCATGGACTAAGGACTAGGTGCGTTCCTCCAGGTCTTTTTACCAATATGGCCAAGTTGCGAGAACAAGGTCAAACAACTTCTATAGACTTTTTCAATTGAACAAGGTAGATTGTGTTTAAGGATACAATTCAGCTATGAAACACACCTCAAGTGGCTGTGATAATTCAATATCATGGAACAAGGTTAGCCGCTCAACCAGCCCTCCAGGCTGGGAATATGCCGCAAAGCGTTCCAACTTGGCTCGCTTGAAGTATGTAACTTTGTGGCCAGCATCAGAATAACGTCGCTGGTATTGTTCCTGAGTTAAAATAATAGGTAGAGTCCAGGAGGCCGGCATTTCCAGCAATAGAAGGTGGTCCTCCAATGTGGCAAGTGGGCGAGCGGAGTCCTTAGCTGTCCCTGTTGCATTTGTCGTTGTCATAGGGTCTGCGTTTGTCCCCGTTGTTTGGAAACGGCTGCGGTACAGGAGTGTGTTTTGGACCGTCGAAGTTGTGTTGACTCCGCAAACGGCACCAGGCCTACGCGACGAATTGGCTAGGCCATAAGAGGAGATCCCTGGTAAACTGGCCTGACCAGGCAAAACGGAACTGGCCCCAGGACCAGAGTTTGCTATGGCTCCACTGCCTGCTCCAGCTCCAGGCCCGCCGCAAACCCTAATACCAGATAATCGACTCGTTTGTGTGCTCTCTTGATTATCGTTGCTGTCCTTGCACTGTAGCTGAAAATCTAAGGTTGATTGAAGATCACGATAGAGGTTAGGTACCCCGTTGGCAGCGGGAGCTGCAGCAACATTGGCACTCGCGACTGTATTAGTGGCGTTGATGGTCTGAGCGTTACCTTAATGGTGATTTTATAATGAATTGATAGTTTTATATTTATTGGAAATTTAATACTTTGGCCTATTATCGAGCTAAAAAAAGGTATTAAATATATTCTCATGTTTTAGCCAACATAAGAATGTTATAACTTTATTTAGGACTGATCAACTTAATGCTGCCATATGGACAGGTAACTTCTTAAGCGGTATCCCGTGCTGTCTAGATAGGAAGTTCATGTATGCCCAAAGTCGTGGTCCCATGACAGATTTTCAACTCTGAATCCAAACGGGACGAAGATTCAAGAGCATTAGGAAAATAAATGAATGATAATTGCGTGATTATTTGAACAAAAGTGCCGAGTAATTAAAGTTGAACGTATTAAGGAGAGCGTTCCAGTGAAGCGGAGAATACTAGATTAAATTTAGTTATACTGGATAAAGTACAGCTGGCTTTCGTAGCTGATAAGGCAAGAAAAAGAGAATTATCTAAGAGGCCTGGCAAGGTCCTAAATGTACATTAGTGCCAAAAAGTGGAGATAAGGATTCTAAGTCTCGAGCTTTTTGCCTTATAAACACACTAATATGTATAGATAGGACCATAATCTGTATTCGTAGCATTGACTCAAAGTGTGTGTTATCTGTGCATCTGAACGCAATTGAACAGAAGAATCGGCTTCTAGAGGTGGCCACTAAAAGTTGTCATGGAAGAAAATTGCTTTATTGGCATGTGCAATCTCTAAATGGGAAAGAAAAAGATAAATCACCAAAAAATATTGAGCGATAAATGTCTCAGTTGAAAAATGGCAAGGTATATACAGCTCGTGAAAGATGGACTCAGGGCGAGCGTGAAGTGTATTTCCTACTCCCAATGAGTAAAAAAGGCGAAAATTGCTTTTGAACTCTATTAGCCTCGATATGGGATTGGAATCAGGCATAAAGCAGACCAAAACACGACACATTGGCCAAGCCACAGAGCTTAGGCTGCATAAGAAGGCTAAAAAGGCAATGGAAATGTACACAGCCAATGGTCCAATGTCGGAAATCACGAATGCTATGGCAGATAACACGGAACTAGGTATGTTCCACAAGGTCTCCTGGACGCTCCAAACAAGTTGCGCAAACAAGGTCGAACAAACACTAAAAAATAAGCAATGTAATCATTTATTATAGCAAATGTAACTATGCTTCACCGACAATCTCAACAAATATTGTCCTATGGGAAAATGTCTGGCCTTCTTTGAAAGTGACATCTGCCTTGTGACCCATGGGCACTCGTTGAAATGTGGCGGAGTGGCTACCGTATCAAGATTGTTATGGTTCGACTCCCGTTGGGGATGTTGATAAGACCTAGGTGAGGTCGAAACTGCGGTCTACCCTGGTTGAGAACACCTTTTGGGAAAGCAATGCTATGTGAAATTCAATGTAAATATTAGCCCTACCAATATAATTGTGGGAAAATTCAACTACCAGACCTTCAACACCATAAAAGAAATAGGCTGAATACATCTCATATAAATGGTAAAATAGTTTCTGAATCTATATAATACTTAGTTTTAGACTTGATTCTGCAAGCCCATTACTTCCGATTTCGCACAAATGGCTGCTGTATGAGGGAAAAATTACGTAAGAATGGGCCATTGACATTAGCATACATATAGAAATGAACCTCAGTTATTCAAAAATTTGCTTTCCGTCGTTTGTTGCCAAGTGCTATTTCTCTCGAATTTTTTTAATTGGATCTAGGAATAGGATTCATGTGATAGTTTATGAGAAGCGAAATTTCCTTGGTTAAAGATAAAATGGAAAATGTACAAATTCTATTAAAATCGAAGACATGAAGACCAGAATGGTGTGGCCTTTTGTATGCGAGGACGACAATAAGTGGATATGCCTGCCCTCCTGTGAACTGAGCCAGAGATTATGACCGTTGCTAAGAAAATACAATATCAAGGTGATAAAAAAAGAAAAGACAACACTTCACAAGCCTGCCGACACAACACGAGAAGGTTGAAAAACTGGATTGCGCAGGAGTATATAGCATTAAATGCGGCAACTGTGAGCAGAAATATATTGTTGAAGCAGGAATAAAAATCAGCCTACGAATAAAGGAAAACCAAAGATTATGTAGAATCATTGACATTGAAAGATCCGAAACAGTGGAACGCATCACACGGAAGGGACAAGAAATCGAGTGGAAATCGACAGAAAGGCTGGCTGCATATGGTCGAAACACAAGAAAACGAAATATACGAGAAGCCATAGATATCCTGACTAAAAGAAACAGGGGACATGAAAAAGGGAGGATTAGCGAAACTGCATACTGCCTAAGAAAATACGGAGATGTGGGAACAGCAATATAAGCAAAAAGAAGACTACTGGAAAAGGTAAAATTTTTAGAAGTTGTTTGACATTGCTTTCGCTATGTGGTGGGAAGACTTAGAGAAACGCATCTAGTCCGGAGTCCATTGTATACATGATAATTTCCAGTGGGGCCGTGGAGGTGGTACATTCCCAAACGTCTCGTCGACATCGTCAGTGAGTCTTGCCAGTCTTAGCACCTTACTACAACTCATTAAAAGAGACCAGTGAAGCAGATACTTTAACCAAATGTGCGCTAAACGACTGTGGTATCTCTCCTTCTGTCCTGAGCTATTCAGCTCTCCTATATTCTCGTACCACGCCTTCATTATCACAATATTTTTCTTGCCTATTTAAATGTAGTTTGGTGTGCCTGTTTGAGCGGCTTTCATGAGAACCCTCCCTACTCCCTGCTGGTGTTCTCACCACTCTTTACTCTTGTGCTGGGAATGTTGATCAGTCTGCCATATTGTTACGCAGTCCTCCTTCCCTAGGTCTTATCAGAGTCTCTCTCTTTTCCCTTAAGATCAGTCTGCTATCTTCATGATACAAGCATTTCACTCGACCCTTGCCACTTCACCTGTGCTCAACAAGGTGTTATTTCCAACACTCTGCGTCTGTTAGACTAGCTTGAGGCTAAAGACCCAGAGTAATTCCCATGGTCAAGCCTTTGCTTGATGAACCACGTCTGTGGTAAAACAGGACTACCACTAACCAAATATCTCTAGTCCCCGCAGAGACTATCCTGTTTCTATCCCTAATACCAAGTCTATGACTTGCTATGCCCTAGTCCAGTGGTTCCCAAACTTTTCCTAGTCGCGGCGCCCTTTTTCA